ATTAACAGATGAGTAGAGGGCCTGAACAGACATTTTTCCAAAGAGGACATACAGATGGCCAATAGACATACACAAAGAAAGATGTTCAACGTCACTAATCATCAGAGAAATGCAAGTAAAAACAACAGTGAGATACCACCTCACACCTGTCAGAATGATTATCATCAATAAATCAACAAACAAGTGTTGGCGAGGATGTGGAGAAGGGGAACACTCATGCATTCTTGGTGAGGTTGCACATTGGTGCAGCCACTATGGAAATCAGTTTGGAGATTCCTCAAAAAATTAAAAATGGAACTACCTTATGACCCAGCAATTCCACTTCTGGGTACTTATCTAAAGAACTCCAAAACACTAATTTGAAAAGATATGTACGTCCCTATGGTCACTGCAGCGCTATTTACAACAGCCAAAATACGGAAGCAACCTAAGTGCCCATCAATATAAGACTCGGTAAAGAAGAAGTGGTATGTACATACAACGGAATATTATGCAGCAATAAAAAATTGAAATCTTACCGTTTGTGACAACATGGATGGACCTAGAGGGTATTATTCTAAGTAAAATAAGTCAGACAGAGAAAGACAAATACCATATGATATCACTTACTTGTGGAATCTAAAGAACAAAATAAACAAAGAAAACAAACACACTCATAGATACAGAGAACAAACTGATGGTTGTCATTTGGGAGGGGGTTGGGGGTTGGGTGAAAAAGGTGAAGGGATTAGAAAGTACAAATTGGTAGTTACAAAATAGTCACAGGGATGTAAAATACAGCATAGGGAATTCTGTCAATAATATTGTAATAACTATGTATAGTGCCAAGTGGGTACTAGACTAGTCAGGGGGGATAAATTCATAAATTATATAAATATATAGCCACTATGCTGTACACCTGAAACTAATATAAAATAATATTGAGTGTCAACTATAATTGAAAAATAAAAAAATAAGAAAAATTCAAAATAAAATAAAATAAAGCATTATAAAGTTGAAATCTCTTTGTCTTCCATCCCCAATCCACCAGTCCCCCATACCAATCTGGTGGGCACTATCAGAGGTTTGGTTTCTAATCCACTATTTATACATTTACATGAACACATATGTTTTCATAAACAATTTATACTATTGTTTTATATGTTTATATAAAATATACATAATAGTACCCTACTGCTTGTATCATTTTGCAACTTATTGCTTGTTTTAAACATTACTATGTTTTGGAGGTCTATGTTGAAATATTAAAATCTAGTTTATTCCTTTTAATAGCTATCAGCATTTTGTTACATGAATACAGTAAATTTTTTATGCCTTCTCTTTCTCCTGTTGATGGACACTAAGGTTGTCCTAAACAATACTGCAATAGAAGCACTCACACAAATTTCTAGTTCTCATACACGCACTCAAGCTCTTCTAAGATGTTTACCTAGAAGTGGAATGGCTGGGTGGTACCAGGGGCATGTTTAGTTTTATCATATATTGACAAATTATTTTCTGAAACTGTTGTACCAGTTTACACTCTCACTGGCAATGCATTTAGTACCTGCTTTTCTGTACCTTTTTCAACACTGGATATGGGCGCCAGACTTAAGTCTTTACTAATGTGTAAGCAAGGGTATCTTCTTATTTCAGTTTGTATTTCCCCAATTTGCTAGTGCCATCTAGCACCGTCTTATGTTTATTAGCTGTTTGGGTTTCTTTTCTTGTGAAGTGCCTGGTCATGAACTTTGCAAACCTTTTTTTCCTATTAATTTATTTGTGGAGTTTCTTTCTTATTCATTTTAAAGAGAAATCCATTTTGGATGTGAATCTTTTGACTGTTATTTGACCATTGCAGATATCTTTTTCTTTAACCATTGTCAAGTTCATTATCACATTTTTTAAGGATGGACATGCAACATCAGTTCCAAATGGGTAAAGAGTTTTATTCTTTTTTAATCCTATGCAAGGTGGCATATATAGTCTCTATAATTAGGTGAACAGCCATAAAGAGCTTTTGCAGCTATAAGTAAAAATTTCCCTCCAAAGGCCGTTAAGTTTCTCCTCTAAACTTGGAGAGTAGCTCCCTCGTGGCATCTTGGGAGTTGATGGAGATAAATTCTATAGCTAGGTGAGCAAAACAAGGGAAATGGGCTTTCTTTTTACAAACCAGGAGCTGAGCAGGTTCTACACTTCCCCAACAGCCTCAAAGTAATTTGAAATTAGTTTCCGTAAGTGTAACTTATCATTTGTTGATCATTGTTCAGGCATGTGATTTGAAATTTTAACTTTGACTACATGGAGCCATTCTACTTCTTTCCTCTCTTACTGAGAGCAGGTTTCAATTATGTAATTATGGTGAAAGAGGGCTGAAGAGTTTTTGCTCTTATGCCTTCATCCTGATTGGATAATGGTTTGCAATGACTGGTTGAGAGCTGTGGAAACACAAACATGAGGCAAAAAGCTTGGATAGCCATATAAATATTTACAAACATACTAGACTATAAACTGTGAGGTGAGGGCCCGTGTTTACCATATTCGTAATGGTTATATCCTCAGCATTCCGCTCAGTTGATAATCCTACTTAGGGGGCATGTGCTGAACTTTCCTAATCCACAACTATTTACTGAATCTCAATTCTGTGTTAGACACTTTGTACTCTAAGTGCTTCGTGTATAATTAAAGTGACCACAATAGATAAAGCCCCTACCCTCATGAAGCTTACATTCTAGTGGCAGTGAGAGATAAGTGACAATAATGACAAGCGATGCAGTGAAATGGGGTAGAGTTGTAGGGTGGTGAAATGGGTGTGGTCTGAGAAGCCCTCTTTGGAGAGGCCATAGTGATTATCAGCAACATTTACTAGATTAGAGATAGAGTGATAGAGACAGATTGAGATACAGAAAACCACAGTGTCAGGGTTCCAAAACAATTATTATTTCCAATTCATCAGGTAAGCTCTGTTTCTTTGCATATTTATTTGGGACAGTTTGTGAGTCTTGGGAAAAAAAATGACTAAAGCATTGATTTTAGGTTAGAAGGTGTGCATGCATTTGTAAAATATGTTCCCTTTCTTTGGGGGATAGTTCACACAGTGAGAGAACAGCTGGCCCCTACAGCTTGGTGTTGGGCTTTGGCTGGACTGTTCATTGCCTAAGTGGCTTGTGTATTTCTGACTATGTATGTGTTTCCTGCAGCCCATTCCACCAGGGTAAGTCTTTCAAGTCCTGTGGTATGTTCGCATCCTGCAGGAACTACAAACCATGGCTCGCCAGATGATTTAACAGAAAAGTATTGAAAACATTTAAAGTACAGCACTGAGTTGTTCATGAGGAGACATTGCGTTTGCACAAACAAAATATTCAGACAATGAAGATCCTCTAGGTCTTGATTTAATGCAGTCTTCCTTCTTGTGCCATTTATTTTGAAAAATCGATTTCAAGTTCTGAACAGCATCTAGTAGGTGTTCACTGTGTCTTGTCCCCTCCCCCCTCACGCCTGCCTAAAGGGAAAAAAGGAATCATGTTTGGTGGTTTAGTTTTATTTTCTTAGCCAAGTACTTAAATCACGAATGTTTCTTAAGTACCTTTTGATGGGTTTCACTGTTTTGTTTATTTTGCTTTAGTCAGTGCAGAAACCTTCAAATTTCCTTCTATAACAAACTTCCCCCCCCCCCCCCGAAGTCATCGTCTGACCTGGCTGATGGAGGCCGTCTGCAGACCTTGCAGCCGGGTTGGTTTTTGCACGGGCTATAACTTCCACACACAAAACTTACAGCCTCTTTGAGGAACCAATTTTCAAGCTAAGAGAACAAACGAAAGTGTTCGCTCATCTTTCGAAAAATATGCGCTTGGTATGTTCGCCACTATTCATTGGGTTCTCAGTAATGAATACAGAATGTGACATCGGTTTTTCACATACAGAGCTTTTTGTCTTAAATTTTTCTGGGATGTTATTTCCTCGTTTGACGTTTTATTTTCCTGATTTATTCATCTTTAACATGCTACAGAAAACCTCCTCCCCCTGTTCTCTCCCTTTTTAAGATGGCTTAGGAATGAAAACCTTGACTTTTGAGGATCCTTTTAGGTTTACTGTCCCCCCCCCATACACCCCCACCCCCACCCCCGTTATTCCTTTCTGCACACTCTTAGCTGGGGCTGCCAGGCTCTGAGCTGAAAGAACCCGTGGCGGGCGAGGAGAGGAGGGTGTCATGTTGGCGACAGGCTCCTGCTGGCGGCCGGCGAGCCCGCCGGGGTTAACGGGGGCACCGGGGTCAGCATCCTCAAAGTTGGGGGCCTTGGGCGGAGCCGAGACGTAGCCGCGGCGACCGCTCCACCAGAGCATCCCGCAGTCCTGCTCCCCCCACAGGGAAAGAATCGCCTAATCTGTCACGATCCCACCCAGATTTTGCTCTTCCCAGCGCCGTCTCCGCGACCCAGCGCGTCGCGGGGCGGACGCAGGCGAAGCGGAGCCGACGAGAGGAAAAGCCCAGGCCTGGGGCAGAGGAGGAATGAGGGGCCGGGAGCCGGGGGGGATTTCCTCCTGCGCTTCCCCCTTCAACGGGAGCGGAAAATGTGATTTGCTGTGCATTCCAGGCGCGGTTCCCTGGGGTGACCTCTCCCAGCCGGCCTGGGCGGGGGGAGCAGACAAAGAGGCGAGGCAGGCGGAGAGGACCCCGCGGGGAGGCAGGAGGGGTGCGGGGGGCGGGGGCAGTACCGGGAAAGGGGGTGGATAGCGGGTCCCGCGGCAGCGACGGCGCCTGGCCAATGGAGAGGCGCGGCCCCGGGCGCCGCGCACGGCCGCCGGCATTTAAACCGGAGACTGCGCGATGCCCCGCACTCGGTGCGCCCACCGCGGACCGGGCGACCCAGTGTGCGGCGAGAGCGTTTCTCTCCATCCGGCTGACCCCGCGCCGAGCCCCGGAGGCTCGGGCCGCGGCCGCACACCGCGCCACGCGTCGAGAGCGCAGCCCCGACGACCCGCCGCACTGACAGGTGAGCGCGGAGGCGCGGGTCAGCGTGTGTTCGTGTGTGTGCGTGTGTGCGTGTGTGTGTGTGTGCGTGTGTGTGCGTGTGTGTGTGTGCGTGTGTGTGTGTGTCCGCGCGCGCGCAGAGGTTTGCAAACCGACTCCCGCGTTCCACTCCGTGCAGACGCGCGGAAGCCCTCGGGGAGCGCAGGCCGAGGTCCCGCGGTCCCTTGGGGTGAACCATGAAGAACCATCACCCGGTCCTTCCTGCCAAGGTCGGGGCTGTGGTGACCTCACTCTGCGTGGTCTGCAGGGTAAGACTGGGAAAGAGAATGTCAAGAACGAGAGAGATGGCCCCGCATCCCATTTTCTCCTCCCGCTAATCGCTCTTGTGGTGCGCATGGCAGCCGCGCCGGCACAGGGTGGGCGTGGAGTCCCGGCTGCGGGAGCGCGGGAGCAGAAGACTGGTGAGCGAAGCAATGGGGAGCAGGGGGCCTGCATCTCAGCCGTAGACGGCGGGGCAAGTTAAGCTGAGCGGGGGGAGTCCCATGTATTTGAGGCGGGGCGCTGGGGCTGGGGACGCCCGTCGCAGTGCTGTGAGTGACCCTGGCGCGGGGCTGGAGGATCCGAAGAATCAGCGGTTGGGCCCATTTGCTCATCCTCAAGGTGAAATGGAGACTCTCACAAGAGCGGAGCCGCGGGATTCGGCTACAGTGGAAGCCCGAGGATCGGGTGACGGACGGGACACTCGGTCCCGGACGCGGAGTTCATCGAGCCCTTCGGCTCACACTGCACACACCCACGAGCTGGCTGCGCACTCGTGGGCGCTCGGTTCCCTGTAATAGGCTTCTCCCGGTACCCGGCGCACTTCGGCTGAGCCGCGGACGTCCAGGCGCCTGGCTGCGACAATCCGCCAGGTTCCACTCCGCGGGTATCCCTTAGTTTATGTCCCAGAGGCCCCCGCCTCGCCTCACTGCGCCTCCCTAGCGACGGACCACCTGAGACTTGGCAGCAGGAGGCTGGTCTTCGTTTCGGACGCCCAGGTTGTCCCTTGTCACCCCCCGCCGCTTGGCTCCCCCCGCTGACCTCGCTGCAGCTCGCGGAGCAAGGCCAGAAACTGAGGGGTATCGGGCTGTCACTTCGTCAGCCAGTTATTTGTAGATTTTAGGCTTGGGAAGAACAGGCGCGCCACCGCGCTGCCATTGCCTTGGGAACCCAGCTCCGCCTTGGGGCGCCCCAACCTGGCGTTTCCCCACGCCGCGCTCTGGCGACAGTCCCCGGGCGAGCCGGGGGGCACACGGAAGGTGACCAAGGCTCTGCAGTAAAGACCTTCCCGCGCGGCCAGAGCTGGCCTGAATGGGATCACGGTCGAACCCGGCTGCCGCCTTCTCCTCCCCTGTTGCCTCCAAACCCCGGCTCTTTTAGACAGAAATATAGCCTCGAAGTTAGGGGTTAAAAATCTCTTCTTAAAAATAGTACAAGGGCAGAGAGGCGACCATCAGTAGGTAATTGGATCTCCTGCTGGAAAGAGCAGATCCGAGCGGTGTGCGCGTCTGTTTATGTTCCTCTTCGAGATGGTGCCAGGACACGAGTTGATTAAAACAATCTATTGTGTTAAGTGGGTCACCAGGGATTTAAACTGTCCCAGGGACCCCAGAGTAGTGGTTTTCTTCTGGCTGTACACACAAGTTAAATAAATAGCGGAGAAGAGGTTAAGATAACCCTCGTTCCAGGGTGAGGAGTCTTCTTTCACCCCAGGGCTTTCCAGCCCTTTCTCTTCTCTTCTCTTCTCTTCTCTTCTCTTCTCTTCTCTTCTCTTCTCTTCTCTTCTCTTCTCTTCTCTTCTCTTCTCTTCTCTTCTCTTCTCT